GGCTGGGTATGAATAAAGTACACACACCCAAAATTGGGTTATGTTTGAAGGTTGGAAACCCTTTTTTTTACTGCTATTTTTAATAATGAAAAAAAATCTAAATTATATCTATGGATGTGGATAACTTTTCCCACTCTAAAAAAAAAGGCTGACAGAGAATTGATATTGTATGAAAGTTCTTCATGGATCATGTGAGATCAGCTGGTTCCAGCCCAACTTGGGGAATTTTCTGAGTGAAATGGTATTGTCAAAAGGGTGCCCACTGCACAAAGCTCAGCATAAAATGCCCTGAATCCTACAACTTTCTAAGCATAAAACCTGAACTACATTTTTCTGCTGGAGATGTCCTTTCCACCATGGGAATCGAGGGTGGTACTACTTGCTCATGATTTAAACTGTTTTCACTGTCTATTTTCCAATATTAATAATTAATTTTAAGGTTAAATCCTTTACTGGATGGACAGGTATTTTTATAACACATTAAAGAACATTTACTTAAGGTGAAGCACAAGCTGATTTATCTCTATAACCATGGAGGGTAAGAGTATTCCCTCCATATTTTTCTTCCCAGCTTTCAGACAAATAAATCAACACACACACACACACACACACACACATATATATATATATATTTGCAATACTTGGTAATAATAAAAAAAAAAGCTGAGGTCATCTGAATTGTTTCACAATCAGGCAGGTAAAGTGGCTTAGCAGATTATGAAACCCCACTGCTGCCAAATTGCTCCATGATGATAATTATTTGCTTCTGTTCTTTAATTCTGGGTGGGCAACGCTGCTTTTCTTCTGTCCTCTGGAAAAAAAAAAAAAAAAAAAAGCAAGATGGCTCTCCCTATGGTTTTTGGCTTAACTGCACACATCTGGGTTTTGTATCAAAAGAAATAAATATCAGCCCTAATTAATCCTCTGAGGCTGCTGGGTACGAACTCCTGAGCGACACAGGCTTTAATTACAGCTTCAGCCAGGGATGGAGTTGGTTGGGGAAGGCTGGCTGTTGATTTAATGCACTATATCATGTCCAAAAGGATCTGGAACAACACTGATTTACATCAGCTGAATATCTGGCTCATTTGAGGCTCCCTTGGGAAGGAGAGGGGCGATACCTATATCCATACACTCCCCCTGAGTTGTTCAGATGTGGTGTGCAGCAAATTCTATTGCAAAATGCTTGTGAAATCCAGTTTGCTGAGTTCAAATGTTGAAGTTGTTTAATTGGGCAAAAAAATAGTGTGATATTGGAAAAAAACCTCTGAAAATATTGTGATCATATATTCATATATTTTCTCAAGGAATATGAACTCCTTGATTTACTAGTGCTTTGTAAAAGGTTATGTAGAATGATTCAACCACAAGATAAAGCTCCTGTATTTCAGACAAAGAAGTCTCTAAATGACAATACTCTGATTACTTTTACATGTTTACCAATTCAGCTAATTTAAAGATAGACTTCAGGGATTCAGTTGAACAGCAATAAAACTTGAGAATGGGGTTTGTTACACATCCTACAATTCCAAACCTGTCTGTCTCTGTCTCTTGTATTCCCTACTGTTTTTTTTTTTTTTAAGAAGAATTTAAAACTATGTAGTTTGTAAATATATGAGTGAATTCAGAGCAAGTGAAAGTAAAGAGACTGTTAACACCATCCTCAGTACAGCCAAGCTTTGTGCAAACTTCCCTCCCTTCCAGTACACCTCAAAGTCTAACTTGCAGTAAACCTTGTAATTCTAGTCCTGGGTTTATCTACCAAAGGGCTGCCTATGTACTAAATTGTGTAGTTGATTTTTGTAAAGAGTGCTAATGAAACTCACTATTATTATACATATTTTCCCTCCCAGCCAAAGCCCAAACTGGAACTGTAATCCCTAGGAGTTCAAACCTGATATATTAATCCCCTGCAAAACTCCTCCTGCCTCCCCACGATGCCATCTGAAGTCATCCCTGTGAATCCAGGCTGGTTTTGTTGTGCTGGGCAGAGGTGTGTTTACATGACTATCCATCTATTACAGGATATTATTTTTCCAGTGGAGAGTATTTCAAATATTTCCAATGAAGACTTTTCATTTCTGCCTTTTTTTTTTTTTAAACTGGTGTTACTGAAAGTAAAAAGGAAAGAAATAAAAGCATACCAGAAAAATCTATAGTAAAGTCAGAGAAGCAGGGAAAATTGAGAATTTAGAGTCATGGAATCATTTAGATTAGAAAAGACCTCTAAGATCATCGAGTCCAACCATTCCCCCAGCACTGCCAAGGCCACCACTAAACCGTGTCCCCAAGTGCCACATCTACATGTCATAAATCCCTCCAGGGATGGTGACCAAAGCACTGCCCTGGACAGCCTGTTCCAATGCTTGATAAGCCTTTCAGTGAAGAAATTTTCCCTAATATCCAATTTATCTCCCCTGGCACAACTTGAGGCCATTTCCAGGTGTTACTTGGGAGAAGAGACCAAAATCCACCCCACTACAACATCTTAAAAGATGAGGCTGATGCTGACATTTGCTCTGCTATATGATGGCCCCAGTGGATCCACGGATTCTAGTCAGAAGTCTTTAATTACATACAGTATTTTATGGAATTCCTTGCATGTTCCTTGATTTCACACATATATTTTTTACACAGATATGTCATATGAAGAGAAAGCAAGAGAATCTTGTAAATAAGTAATATCATTCTGATTAATACTGGTGTACAGCCTTGATTCTTGAGAGTATTTCACAAACACTAAGGGCCAGATTAATTGGTGTAATGGCAGGAAATCCATGGCATAATAACCTGATTTAATTCTAGAAATCTTGCACAGTAACTGCTTCTTCGTGCCCAGTCTGTACATGCTCCTCATGGAGATTCCAAGATCTGCCATTAGCTCTGATTTTTCTTCAAATCCTTTGATAAAAGGAAGAAGTAAAATCACAGTTAACTAACCCCTGCTATTCTTGGGCAACCAAAGCCCTCTTGAAAGCAAAGGAATGGCTGCAGAAAGGTCATTGCCAGGAAGCATTCAAACACCATTAATCCTCCTCTATCTCCTCACTGCTGATAAGACTCTCTTTAGACCCTGGAGTCAAGTTCCTCTTACCCTGATATGTTCAAGTGCTCAGTGTCCGTGCTCCTGTTATTCATGTCTGGCTGGAGGGTTGAGTTTCTCTCCCAGTTTTTCCTTTCACTTCAGCAGCTCTGGAGCCAGGACAAGGTGACCTCATTGGTTTTACTCTTCTCCATTACAAACAAATCTTCTACCAGCAAAAACCAATGGTAACTTTTAATATGAGTGTGCAACACCCATGTTTGTGTTTAAATGTTCACTCTACATTTACCAATGATATAGAAGTGCCATGTTTGGGCACGTGCAGAGAATACAAAATTATCTCCTGACCTCCCTCCTCCATGAATGGCACCATTAATTTTGTTGTAACTTCATTCACACCTAGAAATTCATAAATGGAGGTGTGTGTTTGGGCATTAGGACAAAAGGTACCCAGGACTGCAACAGTTAATTTGAGATTTTTCGTCTTTCTTATTTCTCCAGCTATTTATGGGATCATGCAACCCAAGATAAAAGTTAGTAATATGGGTCCTGCAGTAGTTCATTCTGCCTCCTCGTTGTCATCTTGCTGATCTAAACAGAAACCTATTATACTAATGAATTTTGGGATTCTTTTCAGCTCCCTTACAACAGTATCTGAGTACCTTATTGCTTCTAAACCTGTATTTTACTAAACAGAGGGATAAAACAACCCTGTTTCACAGGTGGAGAAGTGGGACACTGGAAGATAACAGAAAGGGAATTCAGCTCAAATATACCCTTTTAAACGAATTATCTATACACAGCACAAGTACTACTGCTTGTGGAAGCACAACCAAAATACCTTGTTTCATGAAGTCATCTATCTTCCAAATTAATTTTGATCCTCTGTTTACACTTGCTCTTTATTTTTCAAAACAACCCTGAAAGGCAAAAGCAGAGTTTTGAGCACCTTCATGTAATAAAGGAACAATTAAGCTTTCACTCATATGAGGAAAAGGTTTTTAGTGCAGTGAAATATCCATCAGACTTCGCATTTCTCAGAGCTACTTAAATAGCTCAGAAACGCCACCTGATTAGGCACTTTGCATATAAAACAAAGTCTTGTTTGTTGAAATAGACTTTAAACATCAAATTAAAGTTGCATGACTCAGAATTGTACACAAATAAATAACTGGCTGCATACTTGGAACAAATGTTGTTTTATTGTGCAATTAATATTGCTGATGCTGCTATTTAAAATGTGAATGAATTTGTCCTTCTGGTTGTGCATTACTCATAATGATGGGGAAGGGAGCACTGAAAACTTTTGCTGGGATATCATTTTGGCAGGGGGCAAAAGCTGGGATGCAAGAGACTGGTTGGATGCTGTGCACCCTTGGAACCAACCTGACAGGACTGGAGGTGCTAAATTCTGCCAGCAGACATGACCATGGGGCCAACTTCATCCTGTTTATTCAGCGAGCAAATATGTAGTTAAGGTGGGACTGACTGTGATCTAATTCTTCCGAGAGAGACTCGCAAAATTCTTGCCAAAAGAAGCAACAAGAGGTATTGTTATCGCTGAGAGCTGGTCAGGCCTTGGATGGTTGTGCAGAGATCATCTTCTTGAGTGAACACACGAACCAGGTGGGTCCTTCCCCCAGGGCCCTGTTTTAACAACTCTCGGGCACAATCTGAAGTTCAAAGATGTTTAATTGTTTGCTTGAAGTTGAACAAGTGTTTAAATAATTTTCTGGGTATAGAACCATAAATGATGTGGGTTAGAAGGGACTTTAAAGCTCATCCATTGCCACCCCCTGATAAGGGAAGGGATACCTTCCAGGTTGCTCGAAGCCCCATCCAACCTGGCCTTAGACACTTGCAGGGATGGGCACACACAATTTCTCTGGGCAACCTGTGCCAGGGCCTCACCACCCTCAGAGCTCAGAATTCCTTCCCAATATCCCATCTAACCCTGCCCTGTCAGTGGGAAGCCGTTCCCCCTTGTCCTGTCCCTCCAGGCCCTTGTCCAAAGTCCCTCTCCCACTCTCCTGGAGCCCCTTTAGGCACTGGAAGGGTCTCCAAGGTCTCTCTGAATCCTTCTCCTCCCCAGGCTGAACACTCCCACCTCTCCCAGCCTGTCTCCAGAGCAGAGGGGGTCCAGCCCTTGGAGCACCTTTGTGGCCTTCTCTGAAGTTGCTCCAGCAGCTTCATGTCCTTTTTGTGATGAGAGCCCCCGAGCTGGAGGCAGCTCTGCAGGTGGGGTCTCATCAGAGTGGGGTAGAGGGGGAGAATCCCCTCCCTTGATCTGCTGGTCACAATTCTTTTGGATGCAGTCCAGGATATGTTTGACTTTCTGGGCTGCAAGTGCACGTTGCTGGGTCATCATGTTGATCTTCTCATCAACCAGACCAAAAATAGTCAGGCTGCACTTCCAGTGTGTTTCTGGAGAAATTATGCAGGAAATTAACTGATAACTACTTTGCCAAGGATTACAGCTGATATAAATCTGGGTTGCACCTTTGGTTGGAGAATGGAGAAGTTGCCTCAGTCTTTAAAGTAGTGTATCCGTGAGAAATAATAAAGAACAAAATGACAAAGGTGTTGGATGTCTCTTGTGTGAACACACAGTTGCTTTAGGTTATGCCATGTTACCATAGAGATTTTCATATGTCATAACTGCACTTTAGCACAAACAGTATTTCACATTTTTGTTGTGTTCTCCACGTAAAAATTCATCTCAGCCAGATGTAATTTAGAAAGTGAAGAGGTGTCCCACGATTATTGGTTACATAATCCAAATCTTCTTGAGAAACAGTTCATGAACAGTTTGGCACAGACTTGGAAAATTTCATATTCCTTTGGCAGAGGAAGCTGACTAGAAATATTCAGTGATTAGATTTTCAAAGAGGTTGAACCTCTGCAGCTCTTCACATTTCCACAGCAGCGCTCCAGGGTTCGACACAGCTGAGAATCTGTTCGTTATCATCTACAGGTTTCTTTTACAACTCCCTTAGAAAAAAATGAATCTCTGTGAAATGCATCTTCCAGAGGAAAAAAATACAGCCAGCTCTGGCTGTGCCCTTCAGGAGTACACACAGCTTAAATCCATGCTCATGCTGGTTTATACGTACTGGCACCCCCAAACCACTGCCTGACTTCTGCCTGTACCAGTCTGAATATTGCAGGTCTTTACACCCTCCTTTTTTATAAAGTTAATTTTTAATCACACAGTTTTATGAGGAAAATTAAGGATTTGTGCTGTGAGCCTAACTTCATGCTCTGTGGATTTGTGTATGATTTTTACAGCATGGACATCCACTCCAGCTTTCCCTTAAAGGAGGACAATAAGCCAAATTTCTGCGTCTAACTATTTTATGAAACATGTAGGAAGTTAATATTTAGGGAGACTTTGGCTCATTGATCAGATTTGACAGATGGATACACAGCTACAACACAGAAACAATGACTGCATAAGCCTTAACCCCCTGAGGAGACCAGCTAAAAAACACTTTGTGAGGAGCAGACTCACTTCTTTACAAGCAGTTGCAGAATTGCAGGTGGGATTTCACATGGACTGTGGAGCTCTGGCTTCAGCCAGGAGTGGGTTGTCTCTATAAATGAAACACAAAATAGACATTAAAAATGTGTGAAATGGGAAAATCAGAGCTTTCAGTATTTTATAATTGAGCCAGAAGAGCTGATTGGACGTATCTAATATTCTGCTCAGTGTATTACAGGCTCCCCTTTGTCTGGGATGTATGATTGGAAAAAAACCACCCAATCATATTTACAAATGTTCACTGATAAATTTGCCTTTTTTATATTTCAATTTTTTTCTTTTTTCATCATAATCAATTCTTTCTTTTCTATGATGACTTGATTATAAATATGGCATTTCGGCCATAGGTGACAGACCCACTCTGGGCCAGATGTGCTGGCTGCCTATGAAGGGCTTGGCCATAGGATGTTAGTGGTTTAAAGTAACAGGAAACCTGAGGAATATCATAAATCAGCCTTTTCTGACTAGGTTTTTGTACAGAGTATAACAAAATGTATTGAATAACTTAAGTATGTGTGAGCCTACTGCCTACCAAATTACTGGGGTCTGCCAGTGGAAAACACACTAATTTGATGTTGGCCTCAAACAGAAAATTGTTAAACGAAAATTAGGCTTCAGCATTTCAACAAAAAAATCAGCTTGGAGCTCAGTGTTAACAGGAGCCCAAGGATTTAACTAACTGTAATGAAAATAAAGAGAGACAAAATTCCTGACTTACTGAGCCCCAGTCCTGAGGAAAGGTTTCTCCTTCTGGATCCCAACACAGCAGGAGGCACAAAGCGTGTACCAAAGGGTGGGTTGTCTTTCTTTTCTCTCTCCTGCCATGGATTTCACAAGGTCATAGGTTGACATTTTGTACTTTTCCACACTTGAATTGACTTTCATTAACAACAAACAGAAGGTACTGGGCCAAAGTCATCGAGTCCATGACAGAGTGTTCTAAAACATGAAGCCTCCTGCGTGCAAGGACATCAGGAGGGGCTGAGCTCAGAGCTCCTCTCACCTGGTGTCCTGGCTCTGCCCTGGCCAGTGCAGGGCACTTCAGGGGAGGTATGAGAACCACATCTGAGCCATTCCCTGTTGGGGACTTCTTTCTAACCCCAATTGATACAAACAATCACATTTCAATTATACTCCTGGAGGTAAATACGCCTGTGGCAGTGCAACTTCTGCTCTAACCAGCTAAAATTAATTATTGTCAATTGATTCATCCAAGGTCTTAAATAAAAGATGGTCTATTCTTATCATCCAATTAAAGGTATTAAGATGTTGCCTATTTCTCTCCTAGCTCTTCTCTGCTCTACTTAAATAAGATAATAACAAAAAGCCAAATGTATTTTTTCCATCTCATAACCATTCTCTTTTTTTTTTTTAACCAATAATTTTAGACTTCCTTCAATCTCCTCCTTTAGACCATTTTGTGGAGACAGTCATGGCATACTGATGTATTCTTGTTCCCTGAAATATGGGTCCCACATCAATGCTTTAGCATCCACACCTTCTCAGATGCCCGTGTTTTCCCTTTGAGAAACCACTGCAAAGTCACTTTTAAATTTATAAAGTTAATGGGCTTACAGTGGATTGGCCCAAGTTTTACCTTTTCCTCCACACTGTAGATGTTTTTTGGTGAATTTTCTTTCCTGCCCTGTCTCTCCCTTTCTTCATGGTGTCACCACATGATATACTTGTACATGGACCTCCCCTTATACCGACTCCTTATGGCTCAGAGAGCAGTTAATCCATTAAATGTTAGAGAAAGCTCCTGCTTGAAATGCACCCACAAACCATAGTCCTGAGCCATATTTCTTATTCTTTTTTTGTGACTATATTTTGGGTTCTGGCAGAGCTGCAGGGAGTGAGAATGGCGTGCAGCCTTTCCCAGACTGTGTAGCTTGGCACCAGAAAACAATTTCTTGGGAGTTCAAAACCTGTCAGGATGCTCTCGCGAAACCGCTCCACATTTAAGATGTGTAACACTAAAATGTCACTTTTGGAGCCCAAACCAGAGTGCCTTCAGCTTTTTGATTGGCAGAAAACTGAAGGATAGGCTCCAGGGAATTTCTACTACAGCTGTAAACTTTCAAAAATACTTTGCTGCTGCAGAAACTATAGAGTGTGGTTTAAATGAACAATATGCCCCCTTCATACCTCAGCACCAGGGAGAACAAGCTTTAGACTTCAGCATGAACAACCTATGGTTTGATTTTTAAATTATTTTTCACCCACACAGAACAGGTTAAGCAGCTTTTAGCTCAGTTTCTACCTGTCACACAAACCAAACCATATTCCAGACATCTCTGGGAGGAGGAAGAGATGATACAGATGGTTGTGCAGATGTTTGGATCCTGTTCTCTTAATGCTTTACTCAGGACAAATTTAACCTCCTTATATGCCTCATAGAAGACTAAATCACAGCCCTATTCCATGCCTGGGATCTTGGAGAAAGCCAAGTCTCTAGTTAATATGTTTATGTGACATTCTGAGCTTGGCTCTCCTCCGCCCTTGTGGGCCAAATCCTAATATGACCCAGTGCTCTCTCACATCAACTGGAGTTTTGCCTGCATAAAGCAGAAGTTAAAACTAAGCGATGCCTCCAGGTTTCAGGCCAGTGACTCCATTTCACAAAAACTCATTGTATTATAAAAAGATACATCAGCTTCAGCCCACTGCAGGGTCACTGCTTTTTGGAGGTTTTTGTATTTTGGTTTCTTTTGTGGTGATGGTTTTCAAAAATCTGAAATAGGAGGAGGCAGGTCTTCTCCTCCCACTGCTGGGGCTACACCCTTCCCTGAACAAACCTGTTCTCAGCGGGACCTGAATCCCTCCTGGACCAGTTATGTCTCCAGGGACCAGAGCTGTTGGCACCCTGCCCTACTGTGGTCAGTAGAAAGATGTTTTCTGAGGTTTCCAGAGGCTGGGTTAGGTCCTGTTTTATTGCCCAGAGAATGTGGATTCCCCATTTCCAGAAGTTTTTCAAGGTCAGCTTGGATGGGACTCTGAGCAAACCGGTCTAGTGGAAGATGCCCCTTGCCCATGGCAGGGGGAGTGGAATGAGGTGATCTTTAAGGTCCCTTCCAACTCAAGCCATCCTGTGATTCTATAATTCTACGATTCTATTTTCTTATAAACAACCCCCAGCTTTTATTCCAGTCTTATTTTGACATTTACTCCTATATTGTCTCCCTACATTTCATTCAAACCAAAGAAATGATTGATGGTTTTATAGGAACAATCCTGACAAGTAACATAGAAAGAGCTAAACAGTCTTGGAAAAGGGGATTACAGTTCTTATTTTCATTACAGCTGAAAAAAACCCCACTGCTGAATGAAAACATTCAGGCACAGGGAAAATCTTCAAGTACTGATTCCCAGTGAGGGTTGCCTTGGGTTACCTGGAGCCTCCATGGTGTCCACACTTGCACAGCCAATTCTGGACATACATCTCATAGTTCCCAATGTCAAACTGGGACTGCTGTGGGACATCTGGGCTGTCCTTTGCGGGGAACTATGAGGGAATTTGCTGGAGGACTCCCTGCCACTTGCACGATTCATCAATCCCAGTCCAAATCAGCAGAGAGGCCAAGCCTGAACCCATCAGCTGGATCAGCTGCTTTTGGCTGTAAGGGGTAAAAACTTGAGATGGTATCATAAAATCACAGACTAATTAAGGTTGGAAAAGACCTCCAAGATCATAAAATCCAATACCACCCAATACCACCATGTCCACTAAATCATATCACAAAGTGCCACATCCACTCCTTTTTTGAATACTTCCAGGGATGGTGGCTCCACCACTCCCCTGGGGAGCATCACCTCTTTGGATGGACCATGGGTGTGCAGGCCAGGAAAGATTGTGTGCATGGAGATGTCCCTGACATGCTGGGTGTACTTTGGCTGTATGGCCTCTGTGTGGGAAGATGGGCCCCCTCACATGGGGTCAACTTCCCCCAAGGCCTGATGGCCTTTGAGCTCTTTCTCATCAGCAACACTTGAAGTTATTACAGGCCCAATGAGGACAAAAAATCAGCCAAATTCATGTTGGATGTCAGTCTTCTCTACAAGTGTTTTGGAGGTGCTGTTGAGTCTCTAAGCACAGCACAGCTCCTGCACTTTAATTGTGCCTCTGCTTTAGAAACACATTACAGACAAACGCCTGAGTAATCACCACAGTCCCATGAATGAGCCGGATAAGAGAGATGGAGAAACTGAGAGGGAGAGACCACACAGCAAGTAGTGTGAGCCATGGGATTAGGAATTGGGATTTCTTTTTCTCTGTGCAGAATCCACGAGGCCATGCTGCCCTGGATGATCTCATGAAAGAAGTATATTTTCCATGTGTGAGGGACTCGTAGCAGTATCAGCTAAGTGCAAATTACTATGATCATTAGCCACTCTTTCAGCGAGGCAGCTGCCAGGAAGCCTGTGTGTATGTTTGAGGGAGAATTCCTAATGTCTGTGTGTCTGGAGGAGGATAAATTCTTCTATTCCCCTCCAGTAGCCTAATTAGATTTTTACTCTGTTTATTAGAAGAGTTCAGTTGCTAGCTTAACATGAAATAAAATCTGCATGATTAAGAAGTCACGAGCAGTAAAGCTTACAGTGTGCTGCAAGAAATTTTCCTTTCGTATCAACAACGACGAAATCCTCCCATGTTAAATAAAGTGAAAGCAGGAGTGTGTTCAGATCCAGCAGCCAGGATCCAAACAGAGTGTCAAGGACAGAGGGAGGGTGGGAAGGGGGTATCATGCCATTCAAATGGCACCTTAAAAGGGAGAATTAGTGGAAATGTTGCATTTTTAGGCACAAAACAGACTGGAAGGAACATTCCTCTTTATAGATCTTCACTGTAAAACAAGGATGGGAAAGATGCTGTTCCATTTGTAAACACATTCTTTAGCTCTCCTCACTGTCTTCTTTAGACACAACGGTCTGTCAAGGGTCAGAAGAAAATGAGGTAGTATCTAAATCTAAGTCTATTCAAACATCTTCAGTGGATTCCAGATCTAAGCCCTTCAGGACTTGATAGCCCTGGTGATGTCAAAGAGCCTCCAGCAGTAGCTGTATTCATTCATTAGACATCATTTTTTCTAAAGTGATTCTTGGTCTTGACCTTGGAATAAAAATCCATTGAAGACAATGAGATGTGTGGGGTTAAGTTTAGATCCTTGCATGAAAAATGCAGAGATCTATGATGAGCAGCAAATAACCACTGAGATTTCTGAAATTCAGGATTTGCCCCTCAGTTTCCAGACCTCTGGTGGCACTGGTGAAATCCAGGCATGCATCCCTCAAAACCTCCGTGTAACGTTGTAGATACTGAAGGCTGGGGAACCCAAACCAGGAAAGGGGACAGGTGTTCTCTTTCCCTGACTTTTCTGGGAGCAGCTGTGTCACACACAGAGCCACTAGCAACCTGCAATAGGAAATTTTCCAAATGGTCTTTGAGTTGATGACCCCAAAATCCTACTGAGAAAATGTCTCTGTATTCACTTACCCATGGAAAGCAAAATACAAAGTGTTTTTTCTGCCTCCTAATAAGGTGGCAAGGTGGGTTATTCTTCTAGAGGACATCCAAGAGCTCTTTCTAATCTGTACCAATTCTGGGCTGCACCCAAAACCTCTGAGTCCAGCCTAACCTCATCAATAGCCACCAACAGGATGAAGTCCTATTTCTCATGAATCATTTAAAAATCCATTAGGGGTTAGAGTCAGGGTGCAAATCCAAGGACCAAGTAGGAATCTTGGTATAGAAAGTAAGTTCTGGAGCCTAAAAAAAGAAAAGAGAAAGCTCAGAGGAGGTTAGGAGTCAAGGCAAGGAGACTTGAAACCTAAA